AGATCAAAAGATAAAAATACATATCTTATGTTACAAGTATATATTAAGAATACATTAGTAAAGTTTACATCATATGAATGGGTTATAGTTAAAAATTAATCTATTTGCAAACGACAATTTAAAACGTTCCGTGTTCACTCTTGGATACTGACTAAACTCTGTCCTCAAAGAGTAGCTTGTGGATTTTTTCTTGGTATCAAGTCGACTATGGCACTCTTCTGATTTACAGAAGCTTTAAAAATATTTCTGTCTTGTATTTCTAAAAGATATCTAATATTTACAGGTTCTGATATATACTTTCGCTTAAAACATCTGTCAAAACACCGTTGTAGAGTATTGAGTTCGGCTGGAGAAGAACCGTAGACGGACAGGCCAAACGTTATAGTAGATATTACTAGGGTCTTAAATAGATAATCTATCTCACATTGGCTATAGCCTTCTGCCCTGAGTGTTCGTATAACGTACAAGCATTTGTTTGCTGTGACCAATTTACCTCGCACATGACTGGTGAACTTGAGATACGAATATGTTTCGGCCTATAACGGTTGTGACCGTAACATAACGATAGAAGCAGGTTTAATATTGGTTTATTTCCACGTAGGTATAACAATCCAATCAAGTACACACGACAGTACAGAAGATTCATGTACGGCCCTCAGGCTATATCAACGTTATAAGGAACTCATGCAGAAAGGTGAACAGGAATTTCACGGAACTTTGAACAGACTTTATGAAACTGGACGAAGCCTAGCTTGGCAAGTGGAAGACTGAATTTAAGAAATGGGAATTTCAATTCCATTGAAATGTGAAGAAATTAACCATGACTGATCTGATGAAAGACTGCTGTGTATTCCCGGGTGGTACGGACTGGCTTGGTTTACACTGTCAAAGTTTACTGTCGTTCCAATTGAAGTGTTGGCAGTGTTGCTCAAATATTGATTCAATACATTACCTCGGGCTGACCAATTCATTTCTCATCAAGTTCCTCGAGATATTCATACACTTCCTAGTATAATTGTAAACTTCCTGTTGAATAGTTTGAATGCACCAATCACCTTTGTTGTTTGTGCAACTAACCAATCATAAATAGAAAGGAAGTGACCAGAAATGATCAAATACTTGGAATTGGCTCTTTCACAGGAAGTGTATGAATATCTTGAGGAACTTGATCAAATGAATTGGTCAGCCCGAGGTAATGTATTGAATCAATATTTCAGCAACACTTCAATTGGAACGACAGTAATAACTCCTGAGTCAGTTCCCTCAAATATTTCTTACAAATCCTTCAAAATTCCTACTGTGATCACAGAAACTCTGATAGTGTAAACCAGCCTTTATACAAATCAATGTACAATCTTAGAAAGCTTGAAAACATAGCGCTGCATGGCATTCGACCAGTACAACCGCCCCTGCATGTTACATAATGGAGAGGTTCAGATCTGACTTCAATACCGCTACCATTAAGGAATTATAAACCAATCAGATGCATTTGAACTATCCGTGATTGACCAATCAGAAAGGTACACACGCAAACGTTTCGCATCTTGTAGCAAGTCTGCCAACAAGTTGTCTTCGCACTGCTTGTCCCAAGTTGTCAACAAGTTTGGAACAAACTGTTAACAACTTGTAACAACCGTGTTGATATTATCAGACTTGTTGCAAGGTTGTTCCAACAAGTCCGATACAGTCATGATATAACAATATTGTTACAACTTTGTGTCATCAACCTCGTAACATTCTTGTTATATCATGACTGTATCATAGAACAACTTTGCTACAAGTCTGATAATGTCATCAAGCTTGTTTAATACAAGTTGTTAACAGCTTGTTCCAAACTTGTTACAACAACTGGGAACAAGCAGTGCGAACACAACTTGTTGACAGGTTGTGAACAGATTTGTAACAACTTGTTTGCAGACCTGTAACACTTGTGCGTTTTTACGTGTGTAGTCACTGTAGTGGTGGCGATGGAAGTCAAATCTGAACCTCTCTAATGAATCGAATCAACATGCATGATATGTAAATATATGACATATGTAAAATAATTTTGAATAAAGTTATTCTCCTATAAAGTTATGATGAGATGCTTGTGATGTTACTCTGAGTGTATATCCACACCAGGCTTGAAAAATATGCCTGGCCACGGTGGGAATCGAACCTACGACCTTTGGAATACTAGCCCAATAAAGGAAATATAGGAAAATTCACTCACATATCTGACATTACGAACATAGTAGTGTAATTTTAATTAACGGAGGAAACTATTGGCAAATACTGACTTTGTTTATACAGTTAGCGAAGCCATAGCCAGCGAAGCCAAGCTTGGAAGCTAGCAAAAACTGCCAAAAAGCTCAAGAATCGTCAAAATTTTCTT